ATTCAAACAAGCAAGCCTGGGCTCTGATACCACTGTTGAGTTTTGAGCAATCTAACACTTCCTAAGTGTGCATGCAACCCTAATAAACCTTGGATCTATGTTTGTCTAAATACATGCAAAATAATAATTTTTCCAAGGTTTATAACCTATCTAACATGGCATGGGGAACATTTCAACATAAAAGAGTTAGAAGAGATTACATACCTTTTGATGAGTTTGGTTCTAAGGAGTTTGAGGGCCAAGCACCAATAGTGTGAATGCCTCAAATGGAATCACAAAACACCACAAACTCTTGGAAAACTTTGAGAGAGTATACACACTTGTATAATTTTCGGCCACACACAAGCTTACACACACTAGTTCACTAGTTACACTAGGGGCTATACTTAGGCACCATTTTATGCTCCATAAGCATGCTTATATAGTGTGCATGGTTAGGGTGAAACCCTAATAACCCATGACCTTTCCTTTCCAAGGATCCATGGGTTAAAAGCTCCATGGATCATCCATGGACTTCCATATAAGCCTATCCCATTAACAAAAGAGCATTAGCCCACACTATATAAAACCAATAGCCCATAATCTAATTAGTCTTCCTTTTAATCTCTAAATTAATTCATAATTAATTTAAGACTAAAACTAATTAAATAACATAATCTCATATTAATATATTATAACTTATAATATATTAATAAACATATGTGTATAACTCTCATAAAATTATCCATAAATAGTTTGGATGAGATGCAACCCAAATGGACCATGCCGGGTCGGGTCAAGTATATACCAAATAAGTTATGGACTTAGACACCTTATCCAACACACATTCGGTCATACGCTGGAAGTAGGTATGAAGGAAGACTGTTAAGAAGAGTCTGTAGATTGTCTAAAGAGTTTAGACATATCACAACTTTGCTGCAGAGTTCATGAGGTTTTTAATTATATTGGGCGTTATGAGGACATTTTTTAAGAATAAATGATGATAAGGATTTGAAAAAGGAAATATGGTGTGTCCTGAGGTCGTAACAGGTATTGCAGAACCATTACCAACAAAAATAGAACGAGGGTTATGTGCATTATTACAAATAGATTTAAGTATACCTTGAGTTATCTTCTTTGTTGTGAAAGATTTAAAGATAATTACTTGAGATAGCTTTCTGTTTATTTGTAGTGCTAGTGTTTTGATATTTTTTTATTCATAGTACATAGAGTAATAGTGATATTATGATTTATGAATGCTAGTGTCTTTATTGTTTTCTTGCCATTATTAACCCCTTATGTATCAGAACAAATACGTCTGCTCTTAATGGTTTTGTGAATTATCAAAATTATTTTGGATATGAATTTATGCTTGCATCACTAAGTCTAATGGTTTTGTATTCTCATTACATCAAAATTATTTTTAATTTGAATGTTGAACGGGGATCCCCGTTACCCCGTTGGGATACCCGCATACCCAATAGTGTTTGGTAAACGGGTACCCGTTGGGAATCGGGTCGGTGATGGGATCGGTTTTCATATTTAGGGATGGGGACGAGATTACCAAAACCCGTTCCAAACCCGCCCCGTTGCATCCCTAAGTCATAGTGGTGAACAAACTTGGGAGAGAAGTGGGCTGGTCTGGACTACTGAACCAGGTCCATGGAGGCTGGAGAACACTGGCTGGTAGTGCTTGTGGATTGTTATGTTGTGGGAATTAGACCTGTTGGGGTCGTAATCTAAGGAGCCCAGAAGAAACATGTGAAGTGGGCCTGGTCCAAGAAGTATTGGGATGTTGCTGATAATCCCACGCAGGTGGGTGAGGATATGACGTCGCAGGCCTTTGCCCAATTAGATGAGAAGTAGGTGGAGGAACGAAGAACCAGCCAAAACGCTGATTGCTGCCAGCAATTTCAATGGTGGTGGTCGGCTGTCCAAGAGCGGCAACAAAGGTGGTGCGGGATGGTGATTCCCTTTGTTATTGTGATGATATGCCCTGCTATTGTTTCGGCGATAGGAATTGTTCCCACTCCTTTGTGATGAATTGTTGTTATTGTTGACATTTAAAAGCTATGGGGATGATGAATGATTCTCATGAGATGGTTTGGGAATCTGAGTGGTTTGGAGCCTCTGTTATTCAACAAGGAGCATGGATCGAGCATCATCAAGGGAAGGGAGAGGCTTAGAGTGTCGTATAAAGGTAGCAGTGGATTCATATTTATTTGACAAACCATTAATCACATGAAAGACAATGTGTTTCTCCTTAACCTTTTGGCTAATACCCTTAAGTAAGTCTGAATTTTTTTTGATCTTGTCAAAATAGGCGTAAACAGACATATCTCCCATGGTGATGGAGCGTAACTCACTTTCGAGTTGCATAGCTGTGGATTTGTTGTTTTGGCGAAAACGAGCTTCAATATTCAACCAGATACGATGAGTAGTTGCATTGATAGAGTAGACATAAGTGATTAGGGATTGTGACATGGAGCCGAATAACCAAATCTTGACAAGCTGATCGATTTGTTTCCATTTCGAGTCTTCGGGAGCAAATTTTGGTGCATCATAGGTGTCATCAATATGATCAAGAACCTCGAATGCAATACAATGGGCTGTGAATAAATCACTCTTATGGATCATAGTTGTGTGTGGCCAGATCAAGGATTAAGGGTACGTAAGTTTTTATGTTTGTCACAGTGTATGCTTTTGCTGTGAATGGGGTTGGAGGGTGAGAATTTTCTCCAGTCATTAGGGTAGAGAAGGAGGAAGATGATGATAGAATAAGAAGGAAATGATCGGATGAAGGAAGGAAAGGGAGAAAATTATGGAAGGAAGCATTATATACTTATAAAGGAAGCATTTTTCCTTGCACCATATTCATTTGAAACTCCCATCTATTTTTCCTTTCACCATATTCATTTGAAACTCCCGTGACTTTTCAATTTCTTTCTGATAATAATTATAATTTGGTTAATTAGGTTAAATAAATATCAAACCTAAAATGTAATCATATATAAACTAAATTTAAATATTAAAATAATATCTTACTTCTACTAATAAAGTTATGTATTTTAACTTATAACATATTATACTTAATTTATTAGTTTTAATATATTGTTGGATGTACACCATTATCATTTTAAATATACAATTTTGGAACAATTTGTATAAAATACTTAAATTATTAATTTAAATATAACATTACAGAGTTAACTTAAATATAAACTTTAGATTAACTTAAACAACCCAAAGAATATTTTGTAAATAGTTAAAAGTGAGAAATTGTAATGTCTTTCTAATAATGATTATAAGTTGGTTAATAAGGTTAAATAAACACCAAACCTAAACTGTAATCATAAATAAACTAAATTTCAATTTTAAAATAATATCTTTACTTCTGCTTATAAAGTTATGTCTTTAACTTTTAACATATTATACTTAATTTATTACATTTAATATGATGTTAAATGTAAACCATTATCAGTTTAAAATTACAACTTTTAAACAATTTTGACAAAATACTTAAATTATGAATATAAATATAATATTACAATGACAACTTAAATATAAATTTCAGATCCACTTAATTTTTTTTTTTTTATAAACAGTTAAAAGTGATAAATTATAGTGATAAATACAAAAAACTAAATTGTAATATCAATTTAACTAAAATATTTCCTAATGATATTTTTATAATCGTTAAAAGTTTTCGAATAAGTAGTTTAAAATAACTCACAATAACAATATTTAAAAATAACTCTATATAAATGATTATATTGTTATCTTTAAAATCAAAAACTAATATTTGATGTTTTACATAATTATAATGATAGAAATTAAAACATTAAACAAATAAATTTTAAAAAATTAGTTAATAATAACAACAACTATAAATAATATTAAACCATAGATTTTATTTAATTTTATTCATGTATAACTCGCGGGTAGAAGTCATTCCAACGATTGAGATTATAAAGTTATAATTGATGTGTATATTATCATATAATTCAAAATAATCAATATATTATATCAATTTAGTATATAAATTATTATATCAAATTTAATAACAACGTTATTGTTATATTAAAAAAAACACATATTTGTAAAGACTTCAACTATATAGTTGTTTCTGCGCATTACAATGTCAACTTAAATATAAATTTCAGTTCCACTAAAAAAACCAAAGAATATTTTGTAAATAGTTAAAAGTGATAAATTGTAGTGATAATGAAAAAAAAAAATCTAATTGTAATCTCAATTTAACTAAAATATTTCATAAATGTATTTTTATAATCGTTAAAAGTTTCCAAATATGTACCTTAAAATAACATACAATAACAATAGCTAAAAATAACTCTATATAAATGATTATATTGTTACCTTTAAAATTAAAAATATAATGTTTGATGTTTTAAATAATTATAATGATAGAAATTAAAACATTAAGCACATAAATTTAAAAAAAATTAATTAACAATAACAACAATTATAAACAACATTAAACCATATATTATATTTAATTTTATTCATGTGTAACCCGATGGTAGAAGTCATTTAAACGATTGAGATTATGAAGTTATAATAGATGTATATATTATCATATAATTCAAAATAATCAATATATTATATCAATATTTTAGTATAAAAATTATTATATCAAATTTAACAACGTTATTGTTATATTTAAAAAGAAAACATATATTTGCTTAATTTTTTGTTAGACTGTTGGGTATAGGTAACACCCACCGGCGGGTTATAACGAAACCCCCCCCCCCCCCCCCCCCCAAATTCACCGTTATTGGGTGTTATACGTCTGCGCGTTGCTTCCTGTTAGCATCACTACCTTCGATTGAAGCTTTTTTTTTTTTTTCTCAATAACGCCGGTATGAACGCTGTCCACACCTACCAGCCTAAAATTTTAGAACAGTTTAATGAAAATTAACTAATTTGTCTTTTTCTCTTTAAAAAAATCATTTTGGCAAATTGCAATTGAAGTATTGAACCATTGCTAAGTTGGAGTATTATTTTGTAGAAAGACTGAAAAATTGATATTTTGTTAATTATATCGTGCAAGCAAAACAAATATTAAAAAGAATGAGGTAACAAATTACACATTTTCATAAATCATAGGCACCCAAACCCAACATAACCCAGAAAAAAGACTGTTTTTCCAGGTCACCTCTAATAACATTATGTTCAAGAAACAGAAATCCTCCATTCCATGTGTCCATGTGTTTGTGTTGTACTAAATTCTAGTTGAAAATTTTAAAACAGAGTAGAAGTCCGTGTATCCATTTATGCACAGTTTCCAGTAATATATCTCTATCTTTATAACTAATAACCCCTTCCCGCGTGCTGCATCAAGAAAGCAGCGATCGGCTGTTGATGTAACTCGATGGTCTATATAGCCTTTTGTTCACAACAGTTTCCACGCTGCAAAGGTAAAAAAAAAAAAAAAAAAAATCAATCTAACAATTCCAATTCCATGGATTTTATTCAAAAACATAAAATAAAAGGCAATATGCATAACAAAGTAGTATTCCCCCCCCCCCCCATAAACGGAAATCAGATGAACAAATAACAACAAAAAGAAAACCAATAGGAGTACAAAAATAGTCACAACCAATAGGTAGATATAAGCTTTTACACCAAAGTTCCCAACTTTCCATGGAATGAACTTGTTTCCCAACATATTTACAGCTTATAGATACTACAATTCGTTTCAACTTTCAAGATCTTAATGACACGAGAATAAAACCGATAATATAAAAGCTAATCAGTCTTGCATGATGGAACCGAATCATCAAACTATTTCACTCATTCAATTCTAGAAGATGTTCCACATGAACCATATATACATACAGAGATAGATCATTTCAAATTTCAACAACTCTGATGACTCGATGAGCATATAGTTACGTAAGGATTGTAGTTCAATATACTGATCTTAGCACATAAAAAAGAAAATTGGAGATTCTGAAGTTTAATGGAAAAGGCAATAATTGTATTTGTATGTCATACCAGGAACGCCTTTTTTAGGAGAAAAAGTATGGAAAAAAATGGCGCGACCGAGCATTGCTAGAGTCGAAATAATCCCAACAACATAAAACACCAAAACCAATCCAAGCACCCAAGGCATCAATAAGAACCCTATGAAGAACGTTATCGATCCACACAGCATCAAGGACAACGATATCCCCAATAGCAACGATGCGAACCCCGCCGGAGTTAGTTGCGTTAACGGATGCCGTTGAGGCTGCCTTCGGGAAGACGTAGATACTTCATCAGAATCAGAGTATTGGATCGGCGTCGGAGGATACCGGAGTATGTTCAAAATTAAAGCCGATAGTTCGTAGAAAACCCTAGATTGTTGATCTTGCCGATGCTCCCTTCTCGACATATCGTTTAGATCCAAAACCATAATATTCGTTATCCAAAACGAAGAACAACAACCAAATAATGATAAATACCCCTAAAAACAAAAACAAAACTCTGCGTTTTGCTACAATCGAGGTAATCGGATAAAATCTAAAAAATGTTTTGATAAATTTTCCTTTTTTTTTTTCCCTCAAAATTTCGACATCCAAATCATTTCAACAACGATGGCTAACTTCTCTGGTCCAATCAGCGATCAAAACGCAGAAGATACAAACATCAGATGCTTTTGCAATCTGTTTGTTCGATTTTGATCGTAATTCATAAGAAATTCTTCAATCAATTTATGACACGGATAATCAGATCGCTTCAAACGACACGCCAATTCATTTATTCATTTATTTATAAAAAAAAAATAATGAACAACAAATACAAGATAAGAGATTAATACATCCGTGTGTGTACGCGCATTATGGAGCGTCGGAACCATGTCGGCTTTGGCTGCCTGACGTGGAACCTTATCTGCCTTTGGGCTACGATGACGACGCATTTTGTCATAGCGCGTGCGATTGCGCAAAGAGTGTAGGCTGAAGAATGACAAAATTGACCTGCATGAGCGAACTGATTAGTAATGAAAGTGACAAAAGAAGTGATATTTAAAAACAACAATAATCTGTTTTAGATTATATAAAAAGAGAAATTTATTTGTAACTTTTTATCATTTTATTGTATTTTTTTATGATTTTTAGTATAATATTTTTACTATATGGAAGGCAAGAAACGGATAACTTTTTAGCAACCAACGAGTGCAGACTATGAAAGTTGTCGATATAATCAAATCAACGACTTTCCTTTGGTTTAGGCACAAAGGTGGGCACGAAGATCTCAACTGGTTCGACTCGAATGTCATCGTGTTTAAATTCTTCAATGTTTCTTTATTATAATTTTCTTTTGGTCCCATGTAATGTTTTTCTTCTCCTAGTATCTTGTTAGGGGCGGTTTCTTCTTTTAATATATTTCTTTCGTTTGCTGGTTCAAAAAAAATATTTTTACTATTTTAATATTTATTAATATAATTATTATATTAATAATATTATATTACAATTATCATCCCTAATAAATTAAAATAATTTTATCATTTATCAGCTTCTAATAAATTATATCACATGGTTTTTTCCTATTATTTCTATTTTCTTTTTCTCATGTTATTTTATTGTTTTTTTTTTCTTAAATTCTACATAATATTTAAATATAATAATAAATGCATTTTAATTTTATTAATAGATTTTTCTTCTAAATATTTGTTTAAATTTAAAAGAAAAAGAAAACTTTAATTTTAAGAATTCAATATTTTTCTAACTTTTTTTAATAAATTCAAACTTCAAATGTTTAGAATTTCATATTTAACTTATTCTAATAAATCTATATAATACATTGGTTTCACATTTATTATTATTATTATTATTATTATTATTATTATTATTATTATACTTTCTAATTTTGGTGTTCCTGATAGGTAAATTGATGCTAAAGTCAATACTGAAGACGATTAAGTTCCTGAAGAATCACTCAGATGATTCTATACTCACTAGAGAAGACAATGAAGCAAATTCATCATCAACCTCGAGAGTAAATGTCAAAAGAATACAAAATGCGACTGATTGTCAAGTGAACGAGGAGCACTTGATTTCTTCATCTTATAATGAAAGACAGAATTCGATTTATCAATCTCAAGTTGAGGGGGAGCTATTGGCTACTCAAGCTGGTGTTCAGGTGGAGCATCAGAAAACGAATCCATTAGTTGAGGGAGAGCCAAGTAGATTAAATCATGATGATGATGATGATGATGATTATGATCAAAGTAATGAATTCCTTGATACTAATGACAATATCTCTATTTCAAATGAATTATTAAAAGCAAAAGAAACATACGATGATGCACATTTGGAATTTGATTATGCATTTCCTCTGATGGAGAAATGGATGATGGATTATCCAAAAGAGTAAATTCTTGGTGCTCTAAGTTCCAGTGTTTTGACACGAGCACATATTCGAGCCAAAAATAAGGTTTTAAATGTTCATCAAGAATTTTGTATGCTTAATGTCTTTATTTACAAAATTGAACCAAAAATAGTCAAGAATGCATTAGAACATTCCGATTGGATTATTGCAATGCAGGCTGAACTGGTTGAATTTGAACGAAACAAGGTTTGGAGGTTGATTCCTAAACCTGATGATGTTTCGATAGTTTGTCTAAAATGGGGTTTTTTTTAAAAATAAAATGGACAAAGAAGGAAATATTGTTCGAAACAAACTAGATTAGTTGTAAAAGGTTGTTGTCAACAAGAGTGAATTGATTATAACGAAACATTTGCTCCTATCACAAGAATCAAGGCTATACGAATTTTATGGCTTATACAGCTCATAAGTATTTCGACGCCTACCATATGGATGTTAAGTGTGCATTCCTTAATGGTTTTTTTGAAGAAAATTTTTATGTTGAACAACTACTTGGTTTTGGCAATGATAAGTTTCCTAACCATTGCTATATTCTTGAGAAGGCGGTTTATGGGTTAAAACAAGCACCTCGTGCTTGGTATTAGACTCTTACCAATTTTTTTGAAAATAGTAGAATTTAAACAATGATCAGTTGATCCCACTTTATTTCGAAAGAAAGTAGGGGATCATCTAATGCTTGTTCAAATTTATGTCGATGACATTATATTTGGTTCAACTGATCCTTTGTTGTCAAAAAAGTTTAAGGAACTAATGAAGATTCAATTCGAGATGAGCATGGTGGGAAAGATAAATCATTTCTTGGGCTTAAATATTCGTCAAAGCATGAAAGGAATTTATATAAAACAAGAAAATTACACTCGAAAGCTGCTTGAAATATTTGGAATGATGAATTGCACGAAAACTAAAGTTCCTATGACAGTCGGAACTCGCTTAGGTCCTTCATTGGATAAGCCAGCTATTGATATCATAACATATAGAAGCATGATCGGTTTGTTTTTGTATTTAACTGCAAGTCGACCTGATATAATGTTTTATGTGTATAATTGTGTCAGGTATCAAGCAAATCCAAGAGAACCTCATCTTACTACAATGAAAAACATCTTTTGTTATCTAAGTAGTACAAAGACTCTTGGTCTGTGGCATTATTTGAAAACAAGATTCTTTATTCAAGCTTTCTCATATGCGGATCTAGGGGTTGTTAATTAGATTGAAAGAGCACAACAGAAGAATGTTAATTTCTAGACGGGAAACTTCTGAGTTGGCAATCAGAAAAGCAGACATGTGTATCAATTTCCACTGATGAGGTTGAATACATTGCTGTTGCAGTGTGTACATCTCAAGTTATCTGGATCCAAAGTCAACTACGTGACTATGCGATTAAAATGAAGAAAATTCTATTGTATTGCGATTCTCAAAGAGCAATTCTCATATGTCATAATCCAGTTCAACACTGGATAACTAAACATATTGCTCTTCGTTACCATTTCATCAAAGATCATGTTGAAGATGTGAATATTGAGGTATATTTTGTCAAAACAACTTATCAGCATGCTGGTATTTTTATAAAACCATTAGATGAAAAATCATTTTTAAGAATTTTAAATGGATTAGGAATGATGGAAGCTTGTTATGTTCCACATTCTACATAATTTGTCTTGGATTTAAAGTGTAAATATATTGTACTTACTTTTGATTGTTGGATTAACTTTTGATTGTTTATATAACTTTCAACTAGTTGGTATAACTTTCAAGTGTTTTACTAACTTTCGTTACTTTTTTATAGTAGTTCAGAAGTTACTGTTCACATTTAGCATTCGCATGCCTTTGCATTCAATTTTCCTTAGATCTATTCAGTGCCCATCTCGTGTATGGAGTTAGTCTTTTGATGGAAAATACATGTCTTTGTTGAGCATCTGTCTTTGGGATATTTCTTTGGAGATCAGAAAACAGTGGTTCGCATGCAGAGTATCTATTATCTCTAACAAACAACCAATGTTAGTAATATCATTTTTCTTGCTTGTGTCTTTTTGTCTATAAAATTCAAAAATCCAAAAAGATTTTTTTTTTTTTTTTTTACATTTACAAAATTAAAAATCAAAAAATATTTTTGTTATGTTTAACTTTTCATTTTAGAAAAATTGAAAACACAAAAATATTTTCCGTATTTTTTGGGGAGCTTATTATAACAACGTGTTATTCTTTCGCATGCCAAATGAGCAAATTAAAAAGGAACATGTATGATACAAAACTTTTGTCCTGGTTAGGTGTCCTTAGAAGAATGTTGCAACATGTTGTCCACAAGCCTCATAGACTATTTGTGTTCGAATCCTTAATGAAATTTTCACACAAAAGTTTCTTCCTAATTAGGTTGTATTCACCATAGTCAACGAGCTACCTTTCTCTTTTCATGTTGAGTAAAGACATTTCTTCTAAGTCAAATTTTCACAAAGATACAATGAGTCTTCGTATCAAATCTTTTCACCCAAAATTTATAACACGATCACACACAGTGTCACATGCCCAAGACATTTCTTGTCGAAACCAACTAGGATATATGTATATCACAAATTTGTGTTTATGATCCTAAATCATTTTACTTAAAACATCTCAACTTAAACAACAAACGGTGAACATTTTATGTTCAAGATTTTAACGGAACATTTGTTTCACTATACCACTTTCGATGTTCAAAATCTTATTTTCATTTTAATTGTGAGATCATAACGAAATGTATTCTTCCCAAGTTGTTTCTACCCAATATATATATAGTTTTTAAATATTCATGAAATGAGATTTCCATTTGAACATCTTTCTCTAGATTTCGTTACTTCAAAATTTTCAAAGCTTACTTGTTCTTGACTACACTGGTCATCTAAGTATTTTTGCACAATTATTTACACTTATGTCAAGTTGTAAATTTCTATGAAGATGAAACCACCCATGAACCTTATGTAAAATAATCCCTTCGATACTCCTCAATGAGTTTTCAATTGTAATTCATGGGAAACCATACAAGCAATTCATCATCTCTCTTGATGTCGAATGAAGCGTATCTTTTCCAGGGTTATATTTGCGTTTATATCAAAGATTCTTTGATATCACAATGCCAAAATTTTCCTTTTTTTATTCTGTCTTTTCCTTTGGAACACTTATGCACTAAAATCCTTGAGTTTTTTAGTATTACCGGCTCGAAACTTAGATTTTTCAAAGTCTGGAAAATGATTTCTCTTATCCTTCCCATATGTGAATGAGTCCAATCTTCGTAATAAAGGATGGTCCTATAGTTGTATTGAAAGTCATGACGGTTCATTTTTATTGGGAGATGCGGAATATATGTTGGATGGGACTGTAACACCGTAAATTTCAAAACAAATTTTTTCAAATTTTTATAAAACATAATTCATTTAATATTCAGAAAGCAACCACATTTAATTATCCAATTCATGTAAATACAAAATCCCAAGATCTCAAATCATAACTCCCATGCGTGTGTACTGATCAAGACGGCGCCTTCCCGCGATCGTCACTAG